GGCCATGCTAAAAATTCCCACTCCCATATCCCACTAGAATATGAGGGATGTCATGGGACTCTTAAAAAATATTGCAGCACCTGCTCTAAGTAGGACTACAGAACCAGTTTGGTTTCTTTCTTCACCCATCACCAAGAAGATTCCATCAGATCTGGCGCTAAACCAAATGGTGCCCCACACGAAGAGCATTTTCAGTCTCTTCCCCCCCCTCCTCATTTGTTAAACTTTTGAATACCTTATTTTTTATTGCATTTGTAGCCCATTTCACAACTTTGATGCATGATTTACCCCGTCAAATAAGATGATACATTTGCACGCTAGATAAGATAGATAAGCAAATAATTTTTCCCCCTCTAAGCTTATAGAAACTTCTTAATTTTAAGAATAACTGAAATGTACAAACATCAATACCTGAAACATTTTACCTCAAACATTTTTTCCCTTTTATCGCTAACAACAAAGAGCACCTTGAGCTTGGTGCCCCCCAAACCCAGCACCCCAAGTGATTGCCAGGGTCACCTGCCCCTAAATCCGGCCTGGGCTTCATGGGCTAGGAGATGGCATCCAGGTTGATTGCTTGCCAGCTAAGGGGGGTTGCAAACTGTCCCTGATGCAATAAAACCCTAGCTGATTCTCTTTGTATCTGGAATCTTTCTGACAGGGCTTCATAAATTTCACCGGTCTCTGAAAACAGAGGCCCCACTTGTATCATAAGTATTTTACAGGGGAACAGATGAATGGCCAGAAGAGGAATATTATGATTTTATGTAACTTAACTGAAATTTGCTAGTAAAATTCTAGACTGCTTACCTGCATTACTCTCTCAGCTCTTAAGATACAGAAGAAACAGTGTGGAGCAGTTATGCATATGCTCAGCTGCTTTTGGATTAGTAAAGTTAATGACTTCACACTTTAAAATGTGATTACTGCATCATTATATGGTGCAAAATATTTTTTAGTTAATGCAAAACGCACACCTGAAATTTAACATAATTCTGCACTGTGGATAAATATGGCATCTCATTCACTTTACTGCTTCTCTCTTGTTTGTATAGGCATGGGAAGTAGCTTGCGTGGGGGGTGCTGCAGCACCCGCAGGTTTTGCGCAGGGTCTCAGTTGCCTGCCCCATGCCCGGGCGTTTGGCTCCCAGCCCACATGCAGGATCCTGGCTGCCAACCCTGTGCCCCCGGGCTCCACCCCCAGCTGTGGCTCCAGCCTCAGCCCCTTTACCCCTGTCCGCACGCACGCCCTCCCTGCTCCTGGCCCCAGCTCTGGGGGGGGGGTGGGGGCGGTGAGGGGCGTGGACAGGGGCAAGGGGGGGTACAGCTCAGCACCCCACTCTAAAAACTGTTCCAGCGCCACTGCTTGTTTGTCTTTTTTAAAGATAAGATTCGATTCCACGATGAACCCAGAGGCTATGTAAAAATCTATGGGTTAGATTGGCACAATGTCCTTCCTGCTTCCCTCCTTGCTAGGGGTGGGGAAGGGGGGTTAGTTGCTGGTAATAGTTCACTGCTGGCCTATAGTGGCAGCAAATTGCTCCCTCACATTCTAACCCTAACTCAGCTCTCCTCCACCACACCAGTCAGCAGGAGGCAAAGCACAGGCTCTCGCTTTCCTCTTTCAGCAAAGGAGGGAGAAGTACCCGTGTACCACTGTACAACGGGACCCAAGATCCAGGTGGCTTATGGGAGTTTTAAACTCCATCTAACGTTCCTGCATGGGCATACAGGGCAAGGGATGATTTAGCCCAAAATGTATAGATTGATATTTTTAATATATATTCTAGAATCTTCAAAATGTAGAGCTGGAAGGGACTTCAGTAGTTCATCTAGTCCAGCCCCCAGCCCAGAGGCATGATCGAGTATACCTATATCATCCCAGATAATGTTTGTTAAACTGGTATCTATCTGTATAAACAAAATACACTCCCATTTAATCCGGTACTTTGAGTATATGGTGGGATCCAATAAAATAATCCAGAAAATGGTATTTTAGAATAGTCATCTCATACAGTAGCTCTGTATAGTGCTAGATGATTACTATTGAACCTTGTCGCAGAGGAACTTTGGGTCCACACTTTCTAAGACCTCAACTATAATCCAGATCTTTGCCGGGTCTCTACTCTTGTTGGTATAGAAGCTGGGGAGAGACCATAGCTGAACACTTGATGCCACTTGTTAAAGTTGCCACTTGCCCTGTTTCAGACTGGGGATATGATTCTTAACCCCTCACTTCCAAGCTAGTCTCTAGTTTTTGGGCCCCCTGCTAATGTGGAAGTGCTACTTAGTATAGGCGCCGACTCCGTGGGTGCTCCAGGGCTGGAGGACCCTCGGAAAAAAATAGCCCACCCCCTGGCCACTGCTATTCCCCACCCCCACTGATCAGCTAATGTGAGTGTGGGGGTCCCGCTGCTGCCGCCCAACAGCTGATGTGGGGCTGCGTCGCTGCTAAACAGCTGATAGGGGGCGTTGCTGTTGGCAAAGGGCTTGGGGGAGGGCAGAGAGCGGCGGGTGGGCGGGAGCCTCGGAGGGGCGGAGTGGGGGCAGGAAGAGGTAGAGCAAGGGCGGAGCCTTGGGGGAAGGGGTTGAGTGGGGGCAGGGCCCCAGGCAAAGTGGGGGTGAGCACCCCTGGAGAAAAGTAAAAGTCGGTGCCTATGCTACTTAGGCATCTTCCACATAGCTTGTCCATTTGTTGGTGCCTCACATCAAATAGAATAGGAAGCCATTAGGTGATTGGAGGAGTGTGCCACCTGGTACAATTACCTGCTCGTGGCTCAGATCCCCACCTGCTCATGTGCTAGACAGAGAAGAGTGGGTCGATCAGAGGTAATGGAAAAATAGACTGGAAGCCTTTCCTACCTGTGACAGGGGAAACAGACAGGGAGAGCTGCAGAAAGAGATGTCAGCGGAGGGAGTGGGAGCAAATGACGGTAAGGACTTGTGAGAGTTAAAGAAGGGAAGGAGACAGAAGATCTAAGAAAGAACAGGAGTACTTGTGGCACCTTAGAGACTAACAAATTTATTAAAGCATAAGCTTTCGTGGACTACAGCCCACTTCTTCGGATGCATATAGAGTGGAACACGGCTGCTACTCTGAAAGAAGATCTAAGAGGTATAGACGATGAACCTTACTACAGGACCTGGAAAAAGAGTTGAAAAAATCATTACTGCAAAGACTTTTGTTCCCTATAACATGATAGGAACAAAGCAGTGTGGCAACACTAAGCATACATAATGCCTCAAGTTTGTTAGGATGCTTTGAAAAAGTTAAACCAATAGGTAAAAAGAGAACCCAAGGATATAATTTGATTAGAGATCTTTCAAAAGCCTTTTGATAAAGTCCCTCACAAGAAGAATCTACTAAAGAAACTTGGTCACTATGGCATGAAAGGTAAAATTATAAAGTGTTAAAAACTGATTACATGTATGACTAAATGGCCAATTCTGAGTGTGGAAAAGGGTTAGTAGTGAAGTGCTCCAGGGATCAGTTGTCTTCAATAGGGAGTTATTTGTACGAAAGTGATTGCAGGATATGGCTGTATCACTGCCAAACAAGGTCATGGACAGGATCATGAAAACAGATGGAATACAATTTCTCATGTGTTTAGAATGGATAAGGCCAGAAGCAAGATGAATACAACCAAAAACTATTTCAAGGACCAGCATTAGGAAGGAGAGACCTGTGTACTGTAGGTAATCTCTTCAGAAAATCTTGGAAGTAAACTAGTGCCAGAAGAGGTAGTGTACAAAGAGGTCATTTGTTTCAAAGATAACTTCTTATACTGTGATGATATGGGAAGGGCGTCCTGACAAAATTGTTTGGGAAGGCTTTAATGCCAACATGGACATTAAAAATACAGGGGATAAATTAAACAAACTGGGTGTCATAGGGCTTACAAAGAAGAAAAGCAAAACCTGACAAAGGAAATTCTGAAATAGCGTTGGGGGGGGTAAATGAATTCTGATTTGGCCATATGCTAGTGCTAGAATTAAAAACATGAAAAACAAACAGTATGAAATAGGGGTTTCCTATGGACAAATATAGCGATGATTTTGGGCCCGGATTCTGCATCGGAATCTGTTAGGTTTGGCTCTTGCGCCACTGCAGTCTCATGATGCATCACAAATTTACAATGTAGTCAGATACAATCAATACATAGGAAAGATTGGGAGGAAGGTAGTGTTGTAACATTATATTACTATAAATATCTACAAGCATTGGAAGGTGGAAATAGCAAAAATCTATTAAAAGGATTTTAATTTATGATTCTATTAAGGGTAGTTGTAATTCATTATTGTGGTAATAGTAGGTATAAATACAGACATATAAGAGCAGGGCTGCCCAGAGGGGGTGGGGCAAGTGGGGCAATTTGCACCAGGCCCTGGGCCCCACAGGGGCCCCCACGAGAATATAGTATTCTATAGTATTGCAACTTTTTTTTACGGAAGGGGCCCCTGAAATTGCTTTATCCCAGGCCCCCTGAATCCTCTGGGCGGCCCTGTATAAGAGACAATCTCTGCCCTGTTGGGTTCGCAGTCTTAGTGCTGTCCAAACAAACACCCTCCAATTCTTATTGTAGCTGCCTTGAAACTGCTTTTCAAACACTCCAATAGAAGCCTTTCTTGTATAAAAAGAAACAAAACCAGTCCCTCCTGTCCTCCATTTTGAGAGACTACAAAATGGGGATGTGGAACGATGGGAGTTTTCCAGAAGCATTTGATGCCTTCTCCCACAATTCCCCTGAGTTCCCCTAAGGTTTTCCTGGAAGCCAGAGGGCTGGGAACTGTGGGATAAGACAACCAGAGAGCAGTACAACTGTAACCGTGCAGTACAGCACAAAGTAAGTGTGCACATCTATTCAGGAAGTCAAGTGAAATTAGTTATGGAGAATATATCAAGAATGTTAAAAGTTAAAAAAAAAAATCTTGTAATGAGGGGAGAATCTCAATATCATCCAGTCTGCATATTGCTGCCATTTGAGGTCACAGTGACTCACAATTTCCCCCAATGGTTCCCATGGAGACTAGTGTTCTTCATCCATCTGTGTGGGCATCCTTAAAGAAAATAATGGAGACTTTTCAGTCTTTCCTGTCAACCTCTGCTACATCTCTGAGGTGAGAAGTCAAGTTACAGACCGTGGGGGGAGGGATAGCTCAGTGGTTTGAGCATTGGCCTGCTAAACCCAGGGTTGTGAGTTCAATCTTTGAGGGGGCCACTTAGGGATCTGGGGCAAAATCAGTACTTGGTCCTGCTAGTGAAGGCAGGGGGCTGGACTCAATGACCTTTCAAGGTCCCTTCCAGTTCTAGGAGATGGGATATCTCCATTAATTTAGCAATTTAATTTACCATGGTCAGTATCAACTGCTACAGATGGACCCTGGAGGATGAAATCCTCCTGCTAGCCACAGATAGGAGATCTTCTACCCGCAATACCAGGACTGTCTCAAGTGTGTGACCTTGCTTGAAGTGCAAATGGGTGAGGTCCAGCTGTAATGGAAGCAGTTCTTGGCTAATCACTCAAAAATGGGAGCTCTGACACCAGAGGAGCTGGAAAGGTTTCCTGAGGATTGGCTGGGACTTTGCTGTACTTTAGAAGGGACAGAAGGCTGCTCTCTATGAAGGCGGCATTGGACCTTGCTGCCAGCAAGGTACCTTTCACCATCTAGAATGGGCCTGGATCTGCATTTCAGGATCTTGGAGTTGCAGGGAAGGATGAGGAGAATCCCTCAATCCTTCTCTCCAGCATTGAAAGCCTTTTTTAAGGCTCTGGCTGTGCACGTGTCTCAACCCACCTCACCCAGCATCGCCAGCCTCTCTGAGGCTGAGGTCACTGGCACTGGGTGTGTGCGTCAACCCACCTCTCCCGGCATCGCCAGCCCCTCTGAGGCCATCGACACGGGGTGTGCATGTGTCTCAACCCCCACACCTGGCATTGCCAGCCCCTCTGAGGCCAGTGGCCCTAGTTGTGCATGTGTTTCAATCCCCTCACCCGGTATCCCCCAGCCCCTCTGAGGCCATCAGCACTGGGTGTGCGTGTGTCTCAACCCGCCTCAACCGGTATCCCCCAGTCCCTCTGAGGCCATCGGCACTGGGTGTGCGTGTGTCTCAACCCCTCACCCAGCATCAGCAGCCCCTTTGAAGTCACTGGCACTGGGTGTGTGCGTGTGTCTCAACCCCCTCACCCAGCAGCGCCAGCCCCTCTGAGGCCACTGGCACTGGGTGTGCGTGTGTGTCTCAACTGCCCTTCCCCAGGCTGTCTGAGCCCAGAGGCTCTGTGGAGCGAGTCTCCCAGCCCCTCCCCACCTCTGAGGCGCAAGCACTGCAATGGCCACAACAAACCCGAAGAACTGAGGGCGGGGGTAGGCCGGGCATCGGGCCTCACCCCCACTCTCCCTGAAGCGCGCATGCCCATTTCCCAACAAGGATCGCAACACTAACCCCTTATTACCACTGCGCATGCGTTCACCGCTGTAACGCGTCCACATCTCACCTCAGGCTAATGAATTAATACACATGCGAGAGGAGCAAAGGCTCGGGAGAGGCTGTTCTTTTGCAGTTTCAGCCGGGGATATTTTGACATTTTATCTCAGCCAGAGCACGCGATACTTAACAGAGCAATACTTCCTTAACAGACACCTCCCTCCCCCCCGCGCCTTGCAGGAGCGCATGCGCATGTGCACGGCATATGGCGCCGTGAGGCCGCTATGCCTTCTGGGAGTTGTAGTCCGGAAAGGGGCATTGAATGGGGCATCGCTGCTGTAGAACCGCTCCTGTGGCTAGTCCGTCCCCTGTGGGCGGGGTGAGTGTGCAGTGCGGCCCTATGGCGGCGGGGGTGAGAGGTCAGCGGCTTGCAGACCTGGCCAATGGGAGGATCGTGGCTGGAGGGGGCGGAGCTCGCTGTGTTTTGTTCAATTGCCATTGAGGAGCGTTGTTCACATATGCGGAGGAGGCGGCCCGGGCTGGCCTTGGAGGGCAGGTAGCTGGTGGGGGCAGCGGGGCGGGCACGGGGAATGAGGGTGAGTCCGGGAGGGAGAGCGGCGGGACAGGTATCGGTGTCGCTATCTGCCGGACAGGCAGTGGAGCCAAGGACAACGGGGGCCCGGTACAGATGCCGCGGGTGGGGGGTCACAGGTACCAGCTGCAGGGGGGGGAGGTACCGGGCGCAAGTAGCTTCCGCGGGGGGACGAGCTGCGGGGCCGGGCATAGGTCCCTGGGCGGCGGCGGCGGGGGGGAGGTGGGGGGCGAGCTGTGGGGCTGGGC